AGAGAGAGAGAGAGAGAGAGAGAGAGAGAGAGAGAGAGAGAGAGAGAAAGAGACAGATACTTACGCTTTTATTTTCTTCTTTTCTTTCTTCCTTCTTCCCCTTTGATTTTTGTCTCCACTTTTGGTTATACCTCCCATTAGAGTTCCTACAAAAGACCCTTCAGGGGAATCTCTTATCATCAGCCCTGAGGAGTTTGAACGGATCAAGTTTGCTTCCCGAGTCCTTACCAAGGAAGAGCGAGATGCCATTGAAGAGGCTCACAAAAAGGAAAAGACTGATGTCTTGGTAGTTAACCTTGCCAACCTTGGCCTCTCTGGATACACTGGTGGCTTGGGGATATGTTGGAGGAGAGGTTGACTTCTCACCAGATAAAGGGGAACTCAGACTAAAAGACCCCAAAGAAAGGAAGGGGTGGAAAGTTAGACTGAACTCTAAGGAACATTCATTTTTAAAAAAATATGGCAGAAGAGCTCAGCTAGAATGATGACCAAAGAAACTACGAGTAGTAAGGGCAGTGGTGAGGATGGAGCTAAGAGATGAAACTTTTTGCTTCTTAGTGGTCAGGTGGAGTGAGGAGTAGAAATCCCATTGGGGCAAATTGGAGAGATCAGCCCCAGGACAAAATATTTAGGCAACAGTCCCAACCTCAGTGGGACTTCAAGGTCCCTTTCACCTTTATATCTATGATAATAAAAAAAGAATCAGACACCTCTCCACACACCCTGCTGAGATGGACTGATCTCTCCCAGAATGCAGTGACCCTTCGAAAGCAGATGATGAAACAGAAGGAGATGGTACGACAGAAGAATAGGAAGCTCAATGACCTAGAGGAGGAGGCCAAGGAAAGGGCACAGAATCTCCTGGAGAAAGCCAACACAATGAGGATGGAGCAAGAGGTTGAGGTCAAAGACATGAGCCAGGTAAGGAGCCAAGGGAGGCCACTGGTTGTCTCTTGTTCCTGTCAGTCTTTTTATCCTCACTCTGGGCAGTGTTGGTCCCATGCTGGAGGTACACAACAAGGTCAAAGAAAGCAGTCAAGGGTACTGGAGACTTGTGAAGAGGTGGTGGACGGAAGATGGAAAGTGAGGCCCAAGCTGTTCTCATGGTAAGTGTGTCTGCCGTGGAGCTCTCATAACTCAGTGAGCATGAGATCTGGTCCTGCCTTTTCTGTTTTGACTGTAGCTGGTGGCCCAGGCAGTGAGGTTCCAATGGTGAGAAAGGGGAAAGTTGGCACTGCTGTCTTGGTGCTAGAAGTGCTCCAGCTGTTTACAGCTTGTTTCTTGTTGGTTCATTTAATATCCAAATGCAAGGAGTTTATCATTCCCCCAGTAGTTCTAATTCCTGCTCCTCCGTCTTTGACACTCTCAGTTCTTCCTCCTGTCCTCTCTTCCAGGGCCTCTCACCCTCTTTGTTCCCTCTTTCCATAATTATCTTTAGGGATCTCCCTCCTTGGCTGTCAAATCAAGCTCTCCTGATCTGAAAAAGAGCAGGGTTTGCCTAAATGTGCTCATTTTTACCAGATGCCGCAATGGACACTTTGCTGGGTCTAGTGGCCTACATTCTGTGCTCCACAATTCAATCACAACTATCCACATTCAATCAATCAACCAACAAGAATCGATTAAGCACCTAATGCCTGCCAGGCACTGAGCATACACAGGCAAAAGTGGGAACAGTCCTTGCCCTCAATAAGTTTCCATCCTATCAGGGAGGTCAACCTGTACATAATTAAGAACGTACAAAATAAATGTAAGGTGCATTTTTGGGGAGAGGCAGTAGTTGTAAGCTGGGGGTGGGGATTTGGGAAGGCTTCACGAATAAGGTTTCACATGAGCAGAGTTTTAAAGGAAAAGGGATTGTAAGAGATTTGGAGGTGAAGTGGAAGAGCATGCCAGTCACAGGGAACAAACAGCTGGTGCAAAAGTGAAGAGGGAGGAGATGTGTGTGAGGAGCAGCAAGAAGGCAGAGTGTGGGAAGGGGAGTAGTGTACAGCAGTGGTATCAAACTCAAGTAGGAACAGGCCACCAAACTTTACCTACGGATCCCTGCAGGCCACAGATTGGCTTAAAGAACACATATTAACATTCTCTATGTTCTGTTGTGTTTTTATTTTGATAAATATTTTGTTAAATATTAACATTCATACTAACTAACAACATCAAGTATATCTTAAAATATTATTTTGTTAAATAGATTTCTCAATCAGATTTTTATCTGGTTTGGACAGCTTGTGGGAGTGTTGCTAGACCCTGGCCCAGTGTTTGACACCTCTGGTATATAGTATAGTAAGATTAGAAGGATTGGTTAGGGCTAGGTTGTAAATGGCTTTAAAAGCTAAACAGAGGAGCTTATATTTGATCCAAGAGGGCAGTAGGGAGCCATTAGAGTATTGGGTGACACAGTCAGACTTACACTTTAAGAAAATCACTTTGGCAGCTCAGGAAGCCAATTAAGAGGCTGTTGCAGTAGTTCAGGTAAGTGGGGATGAGGGGTGATGGCCAGGTGAGTAGAAAGAAGAAGACAGAGGTAAGATGTATTGTGGAGGTAAAGAAGACAAAATTTGGTAACTGATTGAATGTGTGGCCTAAGAAGAGGGTGTATACATATTTAATTAGGGTGTGCATTCAGGAAATTTTTTTAAAGGTAAATATTTATCAAGTGTTTGATTTTTATCACACTAAATAAACTAAATTTAACTTTTTAACAAATTAAAAACTCTATTTAAAAATGCCAACTTGAAAAAATGAGACACCAACTACTAAATTTCTTTTGAAATAAGAGTATGTTTGAGACATCAGGCACACCACATATACACACATATGAGTAAGGAGAATAACAATGCTGGCTCTTAGATTAGAGGATATGAGTTCAAATTCTATTTCTGCTGATTACTGTATGTCTTTGGGCAAGTCACTTAACCTCAATAGGCCTCAGTTTCCTTACCTGTAAAATGAAGGATTTAGACTAGATGGCCTTTAAAGATCTCTTCCAGCTCTAGATATATGGTCCTATTATTATATTTACTTTTCTGGGCTTCTAATTGATTAGAGTTAGGGATTTCCACTGGTCTTTGGAGAGGAATCAACATTTGACTCCCATTTCCTCTCATCCTTCCCTAAATACTTCTTTATTGTTCACACACACACACACACACACACACAGTCACTACTTTCATCCCTAAACCTAGTGTTATAACCTCTTATTCATTCCTCAGATAATCCGAAATGCCAGGTGTCATGCCATCCGTGATGCTCAGATCCTGGAGAAGCAATTAATCCAGAAGGAGATGGACACAGAGGAGAAGCGACTGGACCAGATGATGGAATTAGAAAGGCAGAAGTCCATTGAGAGGCAGGAAGATCTAGTCAGAAGGCGGAAGGAGGAAAGAATACGGTAAGCTGTCTGAGTTGGCATCTCCCTGTACAGGCCACTCACAATCCCCTTTAAGTCTACGTTGAATATCAATGAAAAAAGAGATAAGAAACATCTTATCTTCATCATTAGCAGATATTGTTATTATAAAACCTTCACTCAGTGTTATAAAGAAATGGAGGGAAGGGAGATGACACTCATACCTGGACTCTGGAGTTTTCCCTTGGTAGAGCTGACTCTTCATCATAGTTGATTCTACTCCTTCCCTGGCACCCTGAGGTAGCTGGATTTTCCCAGTTTTCCTGGCCTGGTGAAGGACAGGGCCTCAAACCCAGGAACCTTCTGATTCCAAGATCAATGTTATTTCCACTCAACCAGGCTGCCAGATGGGGTGACCTTGTGTGTTTGCCTATGAGAAGCAAAGGGGCAAAGTGGGACAGAAGAGTCAAGGGCAGTGAGGTCACCTGAGACAGAATGGAAGAGCTCTGTGAACCAGATAGTGGATATTAGTCCTCCTCCTGAATTCACTTTTACTGTTTGGAGAAGGGAGTTTTTCAGACTATTTTCTGACCGTCTTGTGGGAGGGGCTAAAGGTGGAGGATAAAGAAGAGAGCTGGAGACCAATGGTTTCTAAGATGCTATGTTGTTAAAAGTGGGGGTTGGACTAGATGGTTTCTGTGATTTGTAGAGGAAGACGGCATATTATCCAGCAGATTGAAAAGAATCAGGAGGAACGGTCACTGCAGGCGGAGGTCCGGGAGCAGGAGATCCAGCAGATGTTACAGTATATGGAGCAGCTCCAGGAGGAAGACATAAAGGTAACAGAGAGTGAGAAAGAATACTGTGTCTTACTAGGCAACTCAGGCTTTAACCTTTTCTTCCCCTTCCCCCTACCCTCCCCCAATTCTGAAAGTTTTGCTGCTCTGGGACTGGGGGGTATAGACAAACAGACTTTTTAAAAATTGACTTTTAAATTTTAATTTAATTTTGGACCGCATTAGTCATTTCCCAATAAACAACACCCCTCCCTCATCCCTGCCATTGTTTTCTCATAAAAAAAAATATTTAATCAAAATTGGCTGACAGATTGATTATGACTGACAACACATGTAACTTTCTACTCTTAAGGTTTGATATTTCTTAACAGAAAGGAAGTGTATTTTACCTCTGTTATAGGCAAAATATTCATCAGACACATGCCCATTTAACATCATCATCATTGTTTACTATGATACTAAACAGTTATTTTTACATGGTGCTGTGCTGGGGGCTGAACTGAATGACATCAGTCCCTGCCTTCTGGAGGCTTATAGTCAGAGGCAGACCTATATCAACCCAGATAGGCAGGTCATGCTGAATAGTTTGTATTTGTAGCCAGTAAATGATAACAATGCTTTAATCATTGGTATCAGACTCAAACAGAAACCAGGATGGGGGTGGGCACAATGCCATACAGAAATTGACTTAGAAAATCATATGTTAACATTATCTATGTTCTATAGTATTTTGTTAAATGTTTCCCAGTTTACATTTTAATCTGGTTCAGGCTGCCCTTGGGAATGATTTGAGGTTGTTTGAGACCTGTCCTGTAAATCATCTCTTAGTTGTCTGCAGTTGGATTATCCTTTTGGTAGATTGAGCCGGGCAGTGCTCTCGTTTGGGAACTTGCTTGCCCCTGTCACCTCCCAAGCTGTTTGGTGGCCTCTCTATCCTTAGTTGTTATGTACTTGGGCAGGGAAAACTCATTTTACCAGTAGCCAATATGAAACAATTAGGAATGTGTATACATTGCAAAGAAATGATTAAATGCATGCCACAGCTAAATAGACAGGTTTTTAAGAATCTCTGCTCTTTGGATAATCTCTTCTAGTGCCTTGTTCTATTTGCATAGATAATTCAATTGGCTGTGCTCTCAGGAAGGGTAAGTGAATTCTCGGGTGCTAAGTGAAGAGGGAATGGGAAGAGTCCCATGGCCAGGCATTCCACAGTCAGATTGGTTCACATTCAAATAAGGCTTTAAGGTTTAAAAAGCATTTTGGCGAAAAGCCTTTGAGGGAGGTAGTGCAAGTTTTATTTCCATTTTACATGGTGAGGAAACAAATGACAGTCTGTGGCTTGCTTATGGTCACAAAGCTGGTGTGTGATGGGATTCAAAGTAGGTCTTCTGACTCTTCTATGGAGTTCTCTTTCTAATACCCTATGTCATCCTTTTCAGGCCTTATGAAGGAGGTGGGATTCCAGGAGCTATTTCAATGACAAAGACACAGTCTGGGGAAGAGAGTCATTATAGGCACATGGCTTTGCTTAACAGAAAGATTATACCCAGGAAGCATGGAGCAAGCTTGGCTTGAGTGGTTTGGTGTTTAGCGGCAGACCATGCTACTCCTACATTTGGGCAGCCATGGAAGAGACAGAGACAGAAAAAATTAGGCAAGACCTTGGAGGGGTGACCTCAGATTTCCAGTCTAAGCTTCAACTTTTCAGGCTCAGGAACCTGATTTCCTCAGTCCATCCAGAGGCAATCAAACTCCTGAACTGATTTGTACCAACCAAACTCACAAGAGACTGACTAGGAATCTGATTAGTCTGAACCAGAAAGCTGACTGTTGTTTGTCTTTAGTTTTCAAAGAGGGCCAGTGACATCACAGGGTAATATCCTGACTTGCCCATGAATTGGATTTAAATGAGGCAGAGTTGCACAAAGTAGTCAGCCTCACTCTCTCTTCCAGAGTCATTGAAGTCCAGTGGCTGGATGAAAGTCAGGATGACTGGTGATAGTCTGGGAAGCAGTGGATGGCCTTGGCATCTTCGATATCTGACTAAGCTCTAAGCACTCCTCAGTGCCTGCTTCAGCCACCTTCATGGCCATTAGAACAAATTGTTCTTATGTGCCTGTTTCTCAGAGGGGAAGTCTTCACATGCTTGGAGTAGACATCCCCCTAATTCACTGACAGTTTTGTGGCCCATTGGTTACCTTCAACCTGGCTTAGCCCATCTGCAGAGATGGTTTACTAGGGTATGGCCATTGCACATGCTTCAGCTTCTTGGAGCCACAGGTGAGAGTTGAGTGACAGACGGACACCAAAGGTAGATGAGCAGCCCTGAAAAGGGCTTAGCAAGCCCTCACTCCAGAGGTGCTAGTCCTTCTTGAAACCCAACCAGAAAGCTAATTTATTAATGTCTGATGAAAAATACAATTGAAAATACTTACCAGGTTTTTATATTAGCTGATCAATGCATTACCTTCCAATAAGGAAATCTTCTTGAAAAGCTAAATGGATCTAGAACAAGGAGCTCTAGGTGACTATAAAAGATATTGTCCTAAGGCTCTAATAGTTGGTGCTGTCTTCTTTGCTGTGAGGATAGAACTACTAAATGGACTGGAACACCCTAACTATTTTGCCTCCAAGATGGTGGACATGGATATTCCCCTCTTTAATTACTATCTCCTTAACCTTGCACATTTCCCTCTGCCTCACACCTATGAAACCTCTTTCTCTCCATCATGGGCTCTGATTCCTTCCTCTTCTTCAAATCTCTCATCTTTACTGTGGCCTCACTTTTCTACCCTTCTCAGTCTTGAGCTTACTATCAGCCATTTCATTGATGTTTGGTCCACATTGTTAGACTTGTTCTGCATGGATTGAGGCTAAAACTAGGAAGATGCAGAGAGGCAGATTTTAATGTTATAAGGAAAAAGATCCTAACGTTTAAGGCTGTCAGAAAGAGTCCTTCCTCTCAGATTGTTTTTCTCTCTCACCATTCTCTTAGTCACTCAGGAAAGAAATTTCAGGGTTATCTTTAACTCTTTCCTCTCCCTCATACCCTAAATCTAGTCAGTTGCCCAGTTCTGTGACTTATCCCTCAGCATTATCTCTCTTAAGTGCCCCCTTCTCTCCAGTTATACCACTGCCATTATAGTTCAGGTCCTAACTCTGGACCCCTGGATTATTTCAATACCCTCAATAATGGACTACCTGCTTCCAGTCATTCTCTCCCATCCATCCTTTATACAGTTGTCAAAATAATTTTTCTAAGGTAAAGGTTTTCATATATACCGCTCTGCTTAAAAATCTTTTAGTGGCTCCTAATTTCCCATAAAGTTCAAACTCCTTAACTTAGCTTTTAAGACCTACCACAGTCTGGCCACACAGGCAAACTGGACATACTGGCTGCTGGCTATCTGCTTGACTTGTCTTACCTGCTTTCACTTCCATGTATTTTTATATAAGACCCATGATTAGAGAATTTCAAAGTTGGAAGGGATCTCAATGACCCTATAGTCCAACTTACATCTGAAGAAGAATTCCCACTACAACATACCTAACAAATTATCATCCATCTTTTGCTTAAAGACCTCCACTGAGAAGCAACCCGCTAGCTCCCCGGATACTGCTATTCTCTTAAAAAAATCAAGACAATAGTAATAAAAATAATAACAGAGAGGAAGAGAATAGACATTTATACAGTACCTACTATGTGCCAGGCACTCTGCTAAGCACTTTAAAAAAAAACCAACCAAATATCATTTCATACGATCCTCAGAACCACTCTGCAAGGTAGGTGCTATTACTATTCCCATTTTACCATTGAGGAAATTGAGACAAACAGCCCAGGGTCACATAGCTAGTAAGTATCTTATACTATACTTCTTTCATTCTCCATCCTGACAAATGAATCAGTAATCATAGCCATCGGTTCTTTTAGACTCTGACGATATAATTCATCAAGGCTAGGTTATTATCTCCTTCCTTGGATATCAATTCCCTATTAGACATTTTTGTTCTGACATTTCCAATCTTAAGGTTTATGAGATCATCAATCATCGATCTGGACCTCAGAAACCATCTAACTTATTGGCCACACTTTACCTATGATGAAGTTGAGACCTTGCCCAAAATCACACAGGTAGTAAATATCAGATGCAGGATTTTCAGGGTTCAGCAAATTATTGTTACCCACCTCAGTCCTCTCCTGTCACTCTCTAATCTTCAGTCATTATCTGCGGAACTTGTAATCTCCTGCCTAGAAACGTGCCCAAGCCTTTCTCATCCTTGAAGATCTCTTATCCTACAACTTCATCAAACTATCATCCATTATATCTCTTTACTGTCATAGCCAAACTCTTAGAAAAAGCTCTCTATACTCATTGCCTCCACTTCTTCTCTTCTCACTCCTCAGCCTCTTGTAATCTGTCTTCCATCCTCATCACTGAATTGAAACCACTGTCCAAAGTTACCAGTGATCTGCTTTGCCAAAGCTGATGGCCTTTTCTCAGTTGTTCTTTTTTTGACCCTTTTGCAGCCTTGGATATTAGTGACCACTCTCTTTTCTCTTCTCCTCTTTTTTTATGATGCTGTGCTCTCTTTGTTTACCACCTTCCTTGTTTCCTTTAATGGATCATCATCATCCCTCTCCCCTAACTGTGGCTGTATCCCAGGGTTCTATGCTAAGTCCCCTTGCCTTCTGTCTCTATCCTATTTCACTTCACCTCTATCTCTTACAATTCCGTTTCCTTCAAAACTCTGCTCATGTGAAACCTTATGCATGAAGCCTTCCCAGATCTCTACCCCCTACAACTAGTGCCTTCTTCCCCAAAATATACCTAATATTTATATTGTACATTCTTAATTATGTACATGTTGGCCTTGCTGATAGAATGGAAACTCCTTGAGGGCAGGAACTGTCCCACTTTTGCCTTTGTATGTTCAGTGCCTGGCATGTATTAGATGCTTAATAGGTTTTTGTTGATAGATCAATTGAATGTGGAGCACAGGATGTGGACCACTAGACCCAGCATCAGGTTAAATTAACCAGA